AAAGCGATCCTCCCACCTCAGCCTCCTGAGTAGCTGGGTCTACAGGCACTACAGGGACTACATGCCCAGCTAATTTACAAAAAAAATTTATAGAGATGGAATCTCACTATGTTGCCCAGGTGGTCTCAAACCCCTGGGCTCAAGTGGTCCTCCTGCCTTGACCTTCCAAAGTGCTGAGATTACAGGCATGAGCCACGACACCCCAACTTTTATACTTTTTTAGATTAGATTTTTGATAGGTTAATCTTTAATCTCTGTTACTATGCAGTAAATCTCTTGAAGGTAGTGATTGTATTTGGATAAAATTATGAACATTGGAGCTATATTCCCGTGTTGGTATCCAACACACCATAACTATGTGACTTGGCAAGTTAATTAATTTTCTCTTTCCTTAGTTTTCTTGTTGGTAAAATGGGGATAATAATACCTACCTCATAGAATGGATGTGAAGATTAAATAAAAGAATGACTACAAAGTCCCTAGGACAGTGCCTGGCACTTATAAGATAACCAATAAATGTTACCTATATTTTTTACTAGTTTTTAAAACTTCCAATGAATAGTTCAATTTCTTACACACAATAAGTGCTCAATGACTGTTTGGGGTTTTTTTTTTGTTTGTTTTTTGTTTTTGCTTTTGTTTTGCATTGGAATCTCTATCTGTCTCCCAGGCTGGAGTGCAGTGGCACACTCACGGCCACCCCAACGTCATGGTAGACCTGCTGGGCTCCGGCGATCCTTTCACCTCAGCCTTCCAAGCAGCCAGAACTACAGGCGCACGCTACCACTCAGTGACTATTTGTAAATGAATAAATTGGTGGGCTAAAATGGTTTTAGCTCATTTATAACTGTAACTACAACTGTAGTTATGACTATCTATGAAAAGGGTAAATAATCCAATATAGAATAAACATAGGCTAAGCAGGAGAAAAAAAATTAAAAAGATACATGCAATCACTAAGGAAAACACCCCACCAGGTCTTAGAAAAACCCCTAAGTGAACAGAATTCAGTGGGAGTAGTCACGATGACATCTTTATAGCTCTAACAAATGCTTAGCCAAAGACGCCCAGATTCAAAGATATCATGTCATTATTTGAATCTTCAATCTAAAGGAGTCTAAACTTCAATAAAAAAGCCTGGTTTAAAGAAAAATATTCTGGAAGGCATAATCTATCAATTCTACAGCAAGAGCAACCAGGAGGAGGAAGGAACTGCTAAAAACCAAACTGACAAGGAACTTAAGTGACAAAGCTGACTGAAGACTTGCTCTTGGCCCCACTCCTCCTCATGATGGATTGAAACACTACAACCGCCTCTGCCTTCAATGCTGCCTTAAACCGAGAGTAACTGTTTTTTCGGGATTTGGGCCACAATTGGTAGGAAAATGCAGAACATTCAACCATCCTAGGCCAATATGGAAAAATCAAACTGAGAGGGACTCAACAGTGGAAATACATCAAAACTTTTCAGGCTAAGCAACTGACCTTCTTCTGATCAGCAGTGAAGAAAATGGGGTCAAGGTAGGCGGGAAAGAGATGGACTGAAATAATGACAGCAGTGCTTTAGCGACAAAGGCTCACCTGAAACAGAGGTGGTGGAGTGGAGATAGAACTTGGGTTTAGGAGGCATGAGATCTTGATATAACTTGGAGACAGATAGGACAAAAAAGTATAAATGTTGGGCAAGGAGAGTTCAGATGCAATTCTCTCACCTCGCCCCCCCAAAGTGCTGGGATTATAGGTGTGAGCCACCACACCCAGCCTGAAACACCACACCCGGCCTGAAACGAACCTCTTAAATCCTAATCCCCAAAACAAGAAATGACCCAGGACAGAGGACTATGGTTTATGTAGGAAATTGTGGAATCACATGAAAAGATTGTTCACAATTTTGTTTCTTTACTCTGATCATGACCTAACAAGCAGCAGAGAGTAAATATAGCAAATCACTATTACAGCTAATCATCATAATTGCCGCTATTTATGGAGCACAGAGTGTGTGCTAGGTACTATGCTAAGATTTTTTTTTAATTTTTTTTTTTTTTTTTGAGTTGGAGTCTCAC